AWMATMGATMYWTYMRATCCTTGAAGTGACTGGKTTGACTRTGAAGGAGCTGGGGGTGGTGACGGCTGACAGGGAGCTCTGGCGTGGACTGGTCCATGAGGTCACGAAGAGTCYGAAACGACTGAACGAGTGAGCAACAACAATCAAGTCAGGAAATMTAATTCCGCAAAAGCTATCCAAGACTGTTTGTATTTAATGCATTCACTACATCAATGAGCGGTGATCATTAATAACAAGGATGAGAAATATGAACTGCAGCTGCCATCARCCCCCACCCCTGGCTATGCTGGCTTGGCTGATGTGATCAGTAAATCCAAGAAAATCTAAGGCCCCTTCTACACTGCCATATAATCCAGATTATCAAAGCAGATAATCCACATTATTTCATTTGAACTGGATTATATGAGTCTACACTGCCATATAATCCAGTTCAAAGCAGATAATCTGGATTTATATGGCAGTGTATTAGGAACTTAGGAGACCACTTCACAAGACGATATTATGCTATGTGCAATACAAGAGACAGGAAAAAATCCAGTGTTAAACAATAAGAAAAGCATTTTCTTACAGCAAATGCTACCCAGACTTTACCAATGGCATCTCCTTTTAAAAAATGCATGCATGGCCAGGGGAAACAACTCACAGTGTCAAAATCAGAAGTTAGTGACTCATCAGTCATGTTTCTGCCCTCCAGTTATGAAAACAAGTATACTTACGTGGCCCGGCTAATAAATGTAGAGATAAAAGTGCAAGAAGGACTAGGTTCTCTTTCTCTGGGAATTTTTTAAACACATTTAGTATAATCATGTGGTCTTTATCTTCAACAAATTCCATCAGCTGCTCATCTGGAACTGATTTTTTTAAAAGAAAAAGGCAGAAATAGGATATAGATGTAAGATCCTTGGTATATTTACAGAACTGTATTCACAACTAATAAGTTAACACAGTTTTTCTTCTGATGCTTCTATGGTCTCTTCTTCACATGTCACAGAGGTCGTGCCTTCAATCAACAGAAACCTAAGCCCTTTAAAGCAAAGGAGAACAATATGTGGCAATAATAATAATAATAATTATTTTTGTACCCAGCCTTCATCTCCCCAAAGAGACTCAAGCAGCTTACATGGGGACAAGCCCAGTCAACATAGTTAAAATAACACAGTAAAAGTAATAAAACAGCAACATAAAACAAAAAAAACCCCAATCAGACAAGAATATAACACAATATAAAAACAACCATCTAGGGCTACACAAAGGTTAACTTAACTTAAACAATAGCACAGCAATTAAAAGTAGCTGAAGTATATATTATTTTTCAAAACCAGGGGTGGCCAGGTTGGTGGTATGTGTTTTCTCAAGTATTGTCTTTTCCTTATTCTTAATATAAAAATGAATATAAAAGGTATTATCGTAGCATTCAAATTATGATATCTTATTATCTTTCCCATTAAAGTACCACAACACAACCATTATGTAATATAACCTTTCCCATTACTCCCACCACTAACAGCTTTTTCTTTGGTCTCTCGAAATGAAGGTGTCCTAGCAGGCCTATGTATGATACCTCCAAGCATACTTGTGCTATTATTTGCTCAGTTTCAAAGCTGTTTCCTATTGGGAAGAGAATGTTTGTTAAGAAGCTTAAGTATGTACATTTAGATTCAAGCATAGTGTGAAATTGTGACTGGCAATGTTCATTTTCAATAGTAGGCTCTACAAAGTCATGCATGAAACAGAAAAATTCACAACACAGCCCAGTTATTGAATCAATCGTGCTTGTTTGCTTTCGTGAGTTTGATTTTACCCTTTACAAAACAAGATGAGGGTGGGGAGGTTTGGATTAATGAAACAGAAGAAAGAGACTTCTGATATCAAACTGCAAAGGGGTAAGAATGCCCTACAAACATTTGCTATTTCCCCCTCTTTTTGCCAATTGTATTTGATATGTTGTAGAAAACCTGCTATGTAGGAGAGAAGCAAGTTGGGTAGATTTACATTAGTTGAAGTTTTGTAGATTGCTAGTCTGAAATTATATTTTAGTTTTTAATTAACAAAATGGACAGTTTAGTAGGCTATATTTACATGTTGATATGGAAGGAGGGGAAACCATGAACAGCACAAGCACAGATGGAGTAATTCTTAACAAGCTGTTTAAAAAGGAATCAAACCCTCCTAGCAAGTAGACTGATCCATATATATTCTGCTACATGCTATACATTTGGATTGTTTGATGGGAAGACCCTGGTGGTGCAGTGGGTTAAAGCACTGAGCTGCTGAGCTTGTTGACTGAAAAGTCGCAGATTCGATTCTGAGGAGCGGCGTGAGCTTCCGTTGTCTGCCCCAGCTTCTGCCTACCTAGCATTTCGAAAACATGCAAATGTGAGTAGATCAATAGGTACCACTCTGGTGGGAAGGTAACGCCGTTCCATGCAGTCATGCCGGCCACATGACCTTGGAGATGTCTATGGACAATGCTGGCTCTTCGGCTTAGAAATGGAGATGAACACCACACCCCAGAGTCGTTCACAACTGGACTTAATGTCAGGGGAAAACCTTTACCTTTTTATGGGAAGACACCCTTGGTTGTGTGGGAAATACATTTTTGCACACAACCAAGGGTGTATTTACACTGTAGAATGTAGAAATAGTAGTAGTACTATGTTTATTTATACCTCACTTTTTTTTCTCCACAAAGCGGCTTACATCAAAAGCATTTCAATACAACTTAAAATCCAAATACATACAAACATTACACATCAATAATATTAATAATAAATGACTTAAATTGTGATAAACCAATAAAAATTTAATAAAAAAATGACTTAAATCCATTAAAAACATATCCAGAGCTAAAACTATGTTGCGGTAAGTCATAGCAGGACCAAGTGTGTGTGTGTGTTGAAGAAAAACCTTATGGTATTAATTATTATGTACAGCTGGTAATGTAGGTCAACCAGCAAGCTTGGTTATATCTTTATGTGTTTTTTAGAATACTGTTGTGGGTGTAGAGCTTCTGGGGAGCTTTAGGAGAGCTTTTACTCTGAGGAGATCTATGCTCAAAGGCTTTGCTCGGGGGAGCAGCATGGAGAAGCTACGCTGAAGGACGCTATGGTGGAATAGCTATTTACTCAAGGTTTATGTTTTGCTCTCTAATTTGATTTAAGATGAAGATGCCTTATTTTGTGTTATTTACAAGGACTATGTAAGTTTCTTACACTGTTTGATTTTTTAATGCAACATTACAAGTTTATGTTTCATCTCTGCTGAGTAAAGAGTAAATATTTTTCTGTTCATTTTCACTCCTGTCTGTGAGTCTATTGCCCTTGGACTTTGGTTGCTGGGTAAAATCCACTACTGCGCAACAAACCACAGCATCCCCTGACTTGATCAGAAAACCTTCTTCTTAAAAGGTCTGCCTGAATAAAAAGGCCTGCTTTCTCATTTCAACCATCTGAGCTTGCAATGAAAGTGGGAACAAGAGAAGAGCTCTCCTGAAGTTCTCAAGGCCTGGGCAGCTTCGTACAAGGGGATGTAGTCATTGAAATAGCCTGGACCTGAACCATCTAAGGCTTTAAAGATCATAGCCTGCACTTTGAATTGTGCCTGGAAACAGACCGGCAGCCATTGGAGCTGCTGCAACAGGGGGGTTGTCTGCTCCCTGTAGCCAGCCCCAGTGAGCAACCTGGCTGCAGCTCTTTGGACCAACTGAAGTTTAGAGCACCTTACAATAATCCAGACGGGACGTAACTAAGGAATGTACCACCGTAATCAGATCTGGCTTCTCAAGGAATGGGTGCAGTTGGCACACAAGTTTTAATTGTGCAAAGGCCTTCCTGGCCACTGCAGATACCTGGGCCTCAAGGCTCAGCACCGAGTCCAGGAGGACCGCCAGACTGTGGACCTGTGTCTTCAAGGGGAGTGTGACCTCATCCAGTACAGGCTGGATCCCTTTTCACTGGTCTGCCTTCCAATTGACCAGGAATACCTCTGCCCCCTTCCACACAGCTGTATAAAATCCAATTTGAACTGGATTATATGACAGTGTGGATTCAAATAGCCCAGTTCAAAGCAGATATTGTGGATTATCTGCCTTGATATTCTGAGTGATATGGCTGTGTGGAATGGCGCTCTGTCTTGTCTGGATTAAGTTTTGATTTGTTTATCCTCATCCACTCCATTACTGATGACAGACACTAGCTTAGGGTTTCTTGGCTTTAGGTGGAAAGGAGTAGTAGAGCTGGGTGTCATCTCATTATAGATGGTACCACACTCCATAACTCTGGATGACCTCTCCCAGTAGTTTCATGTATATGTTTAACAGCACGGGGGACAAATTTGTACCCTGAGGAACCCCACAGGTCAACGGTCAGGGGTTCAAACAGGAGTCCCCCGGTACCACATTCTGGGTACAACTTTCCAGGAAGGACCGGAGCCACTGTAAGACAGTGCCTCCCAGTCCTATCCCAGTGAGATGACCCAGAAGGATGCCACGGTCAATTGTATTGAAAGCTGCCAAGATGTCCAAGAGAGCCAAAAGGGATAAACTCCCCCTGTCTAGCTCTCTCCATACGTCACCCACCAAAGTGACCAAAACTGTCTTTGTTCCATAGCCAGGCCTGAAACCAGATTGATCTGGATCTAAATAATTGGTTCATTCAGAAACCTCTGGAGTTGGGAGGCCACCACATGCTCCAAAATCTTGCTCAAAAAGGGAATGTTGGACACTGCCCAATAGTTTTCCATTATGGAAAGGGTCAGAGATGGCTTTTAAAATATTTGTCTCATAACTGCCTCCTTTAGGCAAGCTGGAATTTTGCCTTAGAATCATATAATTGTAGAGTTGGAAGAGACCTCATGGACCTCACGAAGCAGGAAAATTGCATTCAAAGCGCCCCCAACAGATGACCATCCAGCCTCTGTTCCAAGGAAGCATTAACCACAGTGTTTACGTACTCTGCCAGTCACCTTCTGGCCTGTTTGATCAGCCAGGAATGGCAAGGATCTAGAAAACATATGGTAGCTCTCACCTCTCCAAGGTGAGTTAAAGTCTGACACCACTTTAACTGCCACAGCTCAATGCTGTGGCATTCTGGGAAGTGTAGTTTGGTGATGTACCAGCACTATTTGGCAGAGAAGGCTATAAACATTGTAAAACTACAGCTCCCATTTTTCCATAGCATTAGACCATGGCTGTTAAAGTGTTGTCGATCTTCATTAATTTTGTGCCGTCGCGCTTGGGGGCTATTAGTCTTAATGAAGGAGGGATGGACGTGGCACCTTTCCCCCAAGGGACTGCTTCTTGCCCTCCTATAGGAAACTGGAACTCCCAAAAACCCAAAACACTTTAAATCGCTCAAGATAAGTTTTATTTATCACAAAGTCATTTCTTCAAAGCAATGAGCTGGAAAACTTTAGAGAGGTGAAGGAAAACATACGCTACAGTCTCAATTAGTCCTGGGTCCAAGGGGTTTGAAGCTGAGAAGCCTCACCAAGTTTCCTCTTTCCTCAATGGCTGTGAATGCCGGAGCAAACCACAACCCCAGTTCAGATGGCCTATGTTTTGAAGACTCAGGATCTTCCTCTGGTGCCAAAAGAACCGGCTTGAAGGCGCCTGGGTCTCAATAATTGTCCAGGACGATCTGGACATAAAGCATGAGTCCCGGGGTAAAAAACCTCAGAACTGGTGCTAAGAGGTAACTTAAATCAGGGTCTTTTAGAATCAAGTCTCTTACTCACGTCCATCTGGTACGAACTCTGATGGCAGAATGAAGAAGAAAAAGGAAGTTCTCCCCTCTTGCAGGAAGAGGTAGAGCCAAACAGTACTGACTGACAGCTACAAGCAACCAATCCATACAACTATACATAAGCAGGGTAAAAAGGGGCAGGATTAAGCATGATACAACAGTTTAAATCTTACAACTAACAGTTTTACACATAGGTGGCGCCACTTGCGCCGTCACAAATTTCACAATGTAGAGGACTGGCAAAAAACAAATTATCTCCTCCTCTATGTCAACACTTTCATTCAACTGCACAGAATTACGAGCTATTTATTTTGTTGTTACTTTCCAGAGATTATTTTTCATTGGGTGAGAAAGCAAAAAAGTCATGCGACATCTAAAACTATTCAGAGCAGTCAATAGCTATTTCTCTGTAGGGTACTTTACCGCACAAAACCTTGACCTACTTCACCATGCGGCACCAGAAAACTGGATTAAAAAACTGAATCATATTACTTACCTTTTTCCAGAAGCATGTGCAAAGCTTTACATCCATATTTCTGGACCTCTTCATTATCAGAAAATGTATCCATAGCATCAAAAACCAATAAAAATACATCCGTCCCTTCTTCCAAGAGAAGAAGTGTTATTTCATCTACAAATAGAAGGAAACATCTGTAAGTTATTTGCTTACTAAATACTTTTTTTCATCTCAGAATCCTGATATGGAAATCAATGTTATCACATTATTTCACATTTAGGGTTTTGTCATTTAACCTTCAGCAGAACAATCCAAGGTATGTCCACCTGAATTGTGCCGAGTTACTCCATTCCACATACAGATTATCCTTTATCCAAAAGGACTGTAACCAAAAGTGTTCCATATTTTGGATATTTTTTCAAATTTTTGATTACACACATACACACAATGAAATATTATAGAGATGACATCATAAAGAGAGAATTTATTTATGTTTGAGATATATCTCAAACACGTAGCCAAAAAGATTTATATACGCAATCTATATAAATAAAAATGTAATGTTCGTTTGTGGGATTAACAGAACTCAAAAACCACTGGACGAATTGACACCAAATTTGGACTCAAGACACCTAACAACCCAATGTATGTCCTTCACTCAAAAAATTGATTTTGTCATTTGGGTTATAGTTCCTGGGATTTATAGTTCACCTACAATCAAAGAGCATTCTGAACCCCACCAACGATAAAATTGGGCCAAACATGGCGCATAGTTCTCCCATGACCAACAGAAAATACTGGAAGGGTTTGGAGGGGAGTGTCCTTTGGTTTTGGAGTTGTAGTTCACCTACATCCAGAGATCACTGTGGACTCAAACGATGATGGATCTGGACCAAACTCTACATGAATACTCAATATGCCCAAATGTGAACACTGGTGGATTTGGGGGAAAATAGAATCTTGACATTTGGGAGTTGTGGTTGCTGGGATTTGTAGTTCACCTACAATCACAGAGCATTCTGAACCCACCAATGATAGAATTGGGCCAAACCTCCCACACAGAACCCCCTTGTGGGCCACAGCAACGCATGGCAGGGGACAGCTAGTATTTTTAATATTTGTGTGCATGGAACAAAGTTTGTGTACACTGGACCATCAGAAAGCGAAAGTGTCACTATCTTAGCTACCCATAAGGGCAAGTTCAGATTTTGGAGAATTTCGCATTTCAGACTTCTGGACAAGGGAAACTCAACCTGTACTAAAATGCAGCCTTTAATGGCGGAGCAGTTCTATCCATATTTATTTAGAAAGCTCAGTGAAACTTGCTAACTAATCAATGTGCATACCTGTTCACTTTTTGGTACCTGAACAGCTGTCCTCTTTAGCCATTAAATTAATATCACATGTAATGAAGGGATAAGAAGCAGCATTTTATATATTTTACTAGCTGTACCTGCCATGCGTTACTGTGGCCAACCTTTCCTCCCTTTTTCTCTCTTCCTTATATTCCCTCCTTCCCTCCTTCCTTCTCTCCCTCTTCCCTTCCTTCCCCCTTTCCTTTCCATTCCTCTTTCTCCCCTTTCTTCCTTCTCTACCTATTCCTGGACTGTAACTCCCAGCAGTCCTCCTGATCAATCTATCTACCTTAATATAGATGGGTTCCTGAGTGAAATGTATATAACAAAAATACCACTTGTATAACATAAACAATGATATAATTCAACAACAGTATATAAACATGCTGCACTGTTAACCTCACAGCGACAACAAACAGTATGGTGCAAACTTTTAGTACAGTCGTATTTTCTTATAAGTAGCTTGAGTAACAGCCTACCACAATTCAACAACAATATATATACATGCTGCACTGTTAACCCCACAGCGACAACAAACAATGTGGTGCAAACTTTTAGTACAGTCGTGTCTTCTTATAAGTAGCTTGTGGGACAGCCGACCACGACCGGTTTCGGCCTACCTCAGGCCTTCCTCTGGTGGAAAAATTATGCACATGAAAGTATGTTCTCCACGGGAGATACAAATCTTTTTGGGTTGGTATGAGATACTCTGCTTTGAGTTTAGTTCTGGCTGCTCTGCTTTGAGTATCTCATACCAGCCAGAACTAAACTCAAAGCAGAGTATCTCATACCAACCCAAAAAGATTTGTATCTCCCGTGGAGAACATACTTTCATGTGCATAATTTTTCCACCAGAGGAAGGCCTGAGGTAGGCCGAAACCGGTCGTGGTCGGCTGTCCCACAAGCTACTTATAAGAAGACACGACTGTACTAAAAGTTTGCACCACATTGTTTGGTGTCGCTGTGGGGTTAACAGTGCAGCATGTATATATATTGTTGTTGAATTGTGGTAGGCTGTTACTCAAGCTACTTATAAGAAAATACGACTGTACTAAAAGTTTGCACCATACTGTTTGTTGTCGCTGTGAGGTTAACAGTGCAGCATGTTTATATACTGTTGTTGAATTATATCATTGTTTATGTTATACAAGTGGTATTTTTGTTATATACAATCTATATACCTACCTATCTATCTCTATCTAATGTATCTATCTTATCTATCTGGAGGGTTTCTGGAGTTGCCGTCCAGGAATAGAAAATTAGAAATATGCAGGGATTGAGATGCTCTCAAAGAAATCCAAGGAGAAGAAAGCTTGTTGCTTTTTTGGATTTGTAAGTCCCTTCTGCTGTGTTTTTCAGTGTTGTTATGCGTGGTGGTCACTTGTTGGTCTGATTGGTGTCTTGTGTCCAAATTTGGTGTCAATTCATCCAGTGGTTTTTGAGTTATGTTAATCCCACAAACCAACATTACATTTTTATTTATATACTAGCCATCCCCTGCCACTCATTGCTGTGGCCCACATGGGGGTTCTGTGTGGGAGGTTTGGCCCAATGCTATCGTTGGTGGGGTTCAGAATGCTCTGTGATTGTAGGTGAACTATAAATCCCAGCAACTACAACTCCCAAATGTCAAGATTCTATTTTCCCCAAACTCCACCAGTGTTCACATTTGGGCATATGGAGTATTCGTGTAGAGTTTGGTCCAGATCCATCATTGTTTGAGTCCACAGTGATCTCTGGATGTAGGTGAACTACAACTCCAAAACCAAAGGACACTGCCCACCAAACCCTTCCAGTATTTTGTTGGTCATGGGAGAACTGTGTGCCAAGTTTGGTTCAATTCCATCATTGGTGGAGTTCAGAATGCTCTTTGATTGTAGGTGAACTATAAATCCCAGCAACTACAACTCCCAAATGACAAAAATCAATTTTTTGAGTGAAGGACATACATTGGGTTGTTAGGTGTCTTGTGTCCAAATTTGGTGTCAATTTGTCCAGTGGTTTTTGAGTTCTGTTAATTCCACAAACCAACATTACATTTTTATTTATATAGATATCTAAACTTGCATATCTACACAACCTGATAGGATGGAGCATTTACCTGACAGAGGGGAGAATACACATAAAACAGCTCTCTTCATTTCTACTTTCATTGATATACAGCATTTAAACATGGTGGAATCATTTCCAAATTTGAAAGGTTCCCCACCACCATCTTCCTCAAGTATATTAAGAAAGTTCGGACAGTTGTTGTTAAGAATAATTCATCCAGTGACAGGCTGTATCCATTCCTTAACAGTGGTAGGATGACACTCTGGAATTCATTCCTCCTTAAAGCAATTTTTCAAGGTCTGCCTTTTTCAAGGTCCTTCCACTCGACCATCTAACTCTATATTTGAACTCATTCTATCAACTACTAGCTGCCTGATTAATGAAGACTAGGAGATGCACACACTCACCCCTGCTCTCTCCATCTCTCTGTTTTTTTTTTTCAAATATATTTTTATTTAGGATAAGAGAGAGAGAAAGGGGGGGGGATAAAGGGAGATATTTTGCTTGTACATGTAAAGTGGTGGAACAATACACTGAAGAAAAAGTAGGGGGGGAAATAGGAGAAAAGGCAAAGAGAAAAAAAACAAAAAAGAAAAACTTCCATCTACTCCTTCGCGGTCTTATACACTTCCGTTCCATATAAGATGTATATTAAAAATGAAAAACAAAGATTTTTTACTTTAACATATGTTGAGTCCCCTTTTCTGATAGTTCCATTTGGTAATGATTCTTTTAATAAGTCTTTTATTTTCTCCTTTTTTCATGTTCCTCAATCTGTGACCAGTTAGTCTGTCTGATCAGGTTCCCCGAGTTCTTTTTCAATAGAAATGTTAGCTTATCCATGTCTTATATTTTCATTATTTTATTTAAGCATTGATCTGTGTCCGGTATTTCCTTCTGTTTCCAATATTTCGCATATACAATCCTGGTTGCTGTCGTTAGGTACACAAATAAGATGTCCTCGTTGGGGTTTAGTAGTAAGTCTGAGTCTATTATTCCCAGTAGATAATACTCTGGTTTTTTGGGATTTTTTTCATAAAGATCTTTTGACACTCCTCGTGAACTGATATCCAGTATTTTTGGGATTCTTTACACGTCCACCACATGTGGAAGAAGCTCCCATTGTGGTCATTATACTTCCAACAGGTTTTGTGTGTGTATTTTTGTACATTAAACTTAATTTTCTTGGTGTAATGTACCACCAATAGAACATTTTCAGCCAATTTTCTTTTAGGTCCATTGCGTATGTATAATTTAATTTTTTATTCCAAATAAGGTCCGAGTTGGCTAGAGGTATTGGTTTTCATAAATTTTCAGCCCATTTGACCATACAATTTTTAATTATTTCCCCTTCAGTTGATCATTCTAGCAATTTATCATAAATTTTTGTTTCTTTCTCTCTCATAGAATCAAAGAGTGGGAAGAGACCTCATGGGCCATCCAGTCCAACCCCATTCTGCCAAGAAGCAGGAATATTGCATTCAAAGCTCCCCCGACAGATGGCCATCCAGCCTCTGTTTAAAAGCTTCCAAAGAAGGAGCCTCCACCACACTCCGGGGCAGAGAGTTCCACTGCTGAAAAGGCTCTCACAGTCAGGAAGTTCTTCCTCATGTTCAGATGGAATCTCCTCTTGTAGTTTGAAGCCATTGTTCCGCGTCCTAGTCTCCAGGGAGGAAGCAGAAAACAAGCTTGCTCCCTCCTCCCTGTGGCTTCCTCTCACATATTTATATATGGCTATCATATCTCCTCTCAGCCTTCTCTTCTTCAGGCTAAACATGCCCAGCTCCTTAAGCCGCTCCTCATAGGGCTTGTTCTCCAGACGCTTGATCATTTTAGTTGCCCTCCTCTGGACACATTCCAGCTTGTCAATATCTCTCTTGAATTGTGATGCCCAGAATTGGACACAATATTCCAGGTGTGGTCTAACCAAAGCGGAATAGAAGGGTAGCATGGCTTCCCTAGATCTAGACACTATGCTCCTATTGATGCAGGGCAAACTCCCACTGGCTTGATGAATGCAAGACTGGGGTTAAAATTGCTGGAAGGAAACTTAGATATGCAGATGATACCACTTTGATGGAGGAGGAGCTGAGGAGCCTTCTAATCAAGGTGAAAGAAGAAAGCGCAAAAGCCGGGTTGCAGCTAAACGTCAAAAAAACCCAAGATTATGGCAACAAGAATGATTGACAACTGGAAAATAGAGGGAGAAACCGTGGAGGCTGTGACAGACTTTGTATTTCTAGGTGCAAAGATTACTGCAGATGCAGACTGTGCCAGGAAATCAGAAGACGCTGACTTCTTGGGAGGAGAGCAATGTCCAATCTCGATAAAATAGTAAAGAGTAGAGACATCAGACTGGCAACAAAGATCCGCCTAGTCAAAGCCATGGTATTCCCTGTAGTAACCTACGGATGTGAGAGCTGGACCTTAGGGAAGGCTGAGCGAAGGAAGATCGATGCTTTTGAGCTGTGGTGGGAGGAAAGTTCTGAGAGTGCCTTGGACTGCGAGAAGATCCAACCAGTCCATCCTCCAGGAAATAAAGCCCGACTGCTCACTGGAGGGAAAGATACTAGAGACAAAGTTGAAGTACTTTGGCCACATCATGAGGAGACAGGAAAGCCTAGAGAAGACAATTATGCTGGCGAAAGTGGAAGGCAAAAGGAAGAGGGGCCGACCAAGGGCAAGATGGATGGATGGCATCCTTGAAGTGACTGGACTGACCTTGAAGGAGCTGGGGGTGGTGACGGCCGACAGGGAGCTCTGGCGTGGGCTGGTCCATGAGGTCACGAAGAGTCGGAGACAACTGAACGAATGAACAACAACAACAAACATACTTCCTAGATCTAGACACTATGCTCCTATTGATGCAGGCCAAAATCCCATTGGCTTTTTTTGCCGCCACATCACATTGTTGGCTCATGTTTACTTGCTGTCCACAAGGACTCCAAGATCTTTTTCACACGTACTGCTCTCGAGCCAGGCATTGTCCCCCATTCTGTATCTTTGCATTTCATTTTTTATGCCTAAGTGGAGTATCTTGCATTTGTCACTGTTGAACTTCATTTTGTTAGTTTTGGCCCATCTCTCTAATCTGTTTCTTTTCTAATATCTTGTTGTATTATCATATCACATGTGTATGCCATTTTATTCTGTTTGAAATCTTCTCCGGTCAGTCTTGTGAGAGCAGCTAATTGCTGATGCTCTTCATCCCACTCTTGCCATAGTTGTGCTTTAAGGAAATCACTTCCATGTTTTTTTCATCCACATTAATGATATCATTACCAACTCCCATACCCCACCCATAGCATTGTGATTTTTTTTTTTTTAAAAACGGGAGTTGTAACAGTGCTAGCATGTCACAGTAGTAGGATGTGCTATAAGATTATGAAACAATACAGAACAACAAACAAACAAATAGACAGAAATTATATAGGGGGTGTTTAAAAGGGATTTAAACATATTAAATAAGTAATCTTCTCTATCTGAGCACTGTGAGCGGCCTGGGTGTTCCTTATTTAATCCTTGAGAAAGGGATACTGTGGCCACCCACACCACAACACACCCACTAATATTTCATTCCCAGAAGAAATTGCTAAGATGTCTACATCCTGAATTTTGTTGCACTCTAGCACTGAAACACCTTTTTACCCAGCACCACACACGAGCCCAATAGTTCGATCTAAGAACGTTTATTGACAAAAGCAGGAAAAAATGGAAAAGGGCCATTCCAAAAGGGTCAGAAGAATAGTGAATACAAAATTAGCAATAATCCAAAAAGTCAAGAGCCCAAAATTCAGTGTTACTGCAAACATAAATCCATAAACAACAAGAACTTTTCCAAGGAAACAAAGGCATGAACCAGAACAGGAAACTTAAGGATACTTGAAACATGAACTTGAGAGCAGAGACAGACAGGAGAGTCATCCTTTGGCAATGCTGTCTTCTCTGAGAAGCGTAAAGCCAACACCACTTAATTTAAGCCTAACCAAATAGCCATGAGATCATGCCGAATGAACCTGGGCTTCAAGGTCTTCTCATGGATTCTCTCAGAATGTCTAATTAGTCTATTTTTTCACTCCCTCCATTCTCAAACTTAATCTGGCTTCTTGAGAAGATTCTCCATCAGCTAAAGGCTGTTTCCCAAGAGAACTGGTTTCACTATCCCTGTTTGCCTGGGAACGATCACGGGAATATAAAACATAATCCTCAACTATCTGCAATTCTCTCCTAACACTTAAAGACTCATCACTTTGAAACCCATCAGACCCCTTGTCAGACCCAGCATGTCATAAAAATCTTTTGCTGCTTTCCAAGCTACAACAAATGTTAAAAACTTGTCAGAAAAAGGCGATCATTACTGGGTGATTTCCAGTGTGAACAAAACACATTTTTTTTAATTATTTTGTAATACATCAATGCCTGGAGAGCAACTATACCATGCAATAAGGCTAAGGCAGAAGTGAGAATAATGCATTGCTTTGACAGCATAACAGGGCAATGTGATAACACCCTTGGACTGCAAACTATTACACAAGGGCTTTCTAAGAAAACAGAACAATTGCTCATTAGCCTGTACATGGGAAAAGTGCAAAAAGTCACATTTGCCTATCCATCAATTAAAGGGATCAGAAAAATGTAAATCCATTGATACTCCATACATTCTCGCAGTATTACGTACATTATCAAATCCTAAGAAATCATTATATTTAGATAAAGTCATTACCTGAAGAAAGAAGCAGATTTAATGTTTTGAGGCCAACTGTTGAAAGAAGTACATTTGCATTGTGGATCTTAAGCATCTTAAGAATGTGCCTAAAGTAAAAATAAAACAAACAAAAACTTTGATGTCAATCCAAAAGCCATAATGTTGAGTTTCATAAAGGCAATGACGACAAAACATAGAAGTAACTGTATTTTTTTCCTGCATAGTATACAAAACCTAACAGCATGCATAGGTATTTGAATTCCAGTTGTTTATAGCTATTAGTAACCCCTGCAGTGCATTCCCACACATAAAGAAGTCTGAATAATTAAGATATAGATGGGTATTCAAATGGATCTCACCAACTAAATCTGTCTACTGTCATTTAATTTGGGCCTTTATACCACTCTGGTCTTTCATGGACCTTAATAATGTCACACTGCTGTAACACTACCACCACATTTTTTTATTTTCTCTACTGTAGTAATTATTTTGATTTTTTCTGGATAAGTACAACTTGGCTTTTTAATTATTTTTTATTATTTTTATTATTTTATATTATTAGAACTGACCATGGAACAATAGACTGGTTCAAGATTGGAAAAGGCATACAGCAGGGTTGTATACTATCACCCAATCTATTCAACTTGTATGCAGAACACATCATGCGATGTGCCGGGCTTGATGATTGCAAGGCTGGGGTTAAAATTGCTGGAAGAAACATTAACTTTAAATATGCAGATGATACCACTTTGATGGCCAAAAGCGAGGAGGAACTGAGGAGCCTTCTCATCAAGGTGAAAGAAGAAAGTGCAAAAGCTGGGTTGCAGCTAAACATAAAAAAAACCAAGATTATGGCAACAAGAATGATTGACAACTGGGAAATAGAGGGAGAAAACGTGGAGGCAGTGACAGACTTTGTATTTCTAGGTGCAAAGATTACTGCAGACGCAGACTGCAGCCAGGAAATCAGGAGACGCTTACTTCTTGGGAGGAGAGCAATGGACCAATCTCGATAAAATAGTGAAGAGTAGAGACATCACACTGGCAACAAAGATCCGCATAGTCAAAGCAATGGTATTCCCAGACCTACGGATGTGAGAGCTGGACCATAGGGAAGGCTGAGCGAAGGAAGATAGATGCTTTTGAACTGTGGTGTTGGAGGAAAGTTCTGAGAGTGCCTTGGACTGCGAGAAGATCCAACCAGTCCATCCTCCAGGAAATAAAGCCTGACTGTTCATTAGAGGGAAGGATATTAGAGGCCAAGATGAAACATTTTGACCACATCATGAGAAGAAAGGAAAGCTTAGAGAAGACAATGATGCTGGGGAAAATGGAAGGAAAAAGGAAGAGGGGCCGACCAAGGGCAAAACGGATGGATGGTATCCTTGAAGTGACTGGATTGACCTTGAAGGAGCTGGGGGTGGTGACGACTGACAGGGAGCTCTGGCGTGAACTGGTCCATGAAGTCACGAAGAGTCGGAAATGAGTGAATGAATGAACAACAACAAGCTGAGAATATGAGGGTACTCAAACATGAATAATGTAATCACCAGACAATGTTTATGCTATCTGTGTTGTACGTCTGTGCTTCTTATGCAATCAGTTGTGGGAGAGAGGTAGGGATTGTTTCCCAATGTAACAGGGAACAGCAACCATTGTTCTTTCTTTCCTGCAAATTCACTATGGGTCAGCAGCCCACAGCTCATGGACCTACACTGATAGATGGACCGTAATAGAATTGAAACAGGTGCTTCCAAATGTGCTGCATTTCACCAGTATATACTGGTGAACTGTCATTTCAAGAATATCCTTTGGTATTATATTGCAAACTCTTGGAACGGGATACAGAGGTAGTGAAAGACTATATGATTAAATGGGCAGTGGAATTGGGACATTCTATTCTGCTAAAAGATTGGGAAGAAACATGGGAATTTTTTTAAAGTAACGTATATTTTGGCCAAAGTACTTCAACTTAGAGACAAAGTTGAAGTACTTGGCCACATCATGAGGAGACAGCAAAGCCTAGAGAAGACAATTATGCTGGGGAAAGTGGAAGGCAAAAGGAAGAGGGGCCGACCAAGGGCAAGATGGATGGATGGCATCCTTGAAGTGACTGGACTGACCTTGAAGGAGCTGGGGGTGGTGACAGCCGACAGGGAGCTCTGGTGTGGACTGGTCCATGAGGTCACGAAGAGTCGGAGACGACTGAACAAATGAACAACAACAACAACATATTTTGGCGTATAAGACTACTTTTAACCCAAGAAAATCTTCCCAAAAGTCAGGGATCGTCTTATACGCAGGAATAGTCTTTTACACAGGGGTCGTCTTATATGCTGGAGTAGCCTTATGCATGGGAGTCATCTTATATGCGGGAGTAGTCTTATACGCCGGGAGTCGTCTTATAGAGCGGGTGCTGAAACTTCCAGTCCAGATTGGAGAATCTGTGGTTGCTGCATATTGTGGGGGGAACTCAAAAATGGCAGTGGTCGCATCCCTGCTGTATGCAGAGACTGTATGAAAGCATTAAGGGTGACGCCGTACAAGTATGGTAGAAGAAAATCCATTCATCAGGATTCGTGGTCTTAATGTGGTCCCAATGGTGAGGTGAAGGGGCGCCTCACCGGGAAAGTGTAAGTGAAGTGCAGCAAGCTGCAGGCATCCGGGACGCCTGGGGTATGGAAAAAAGAGATAGAATGGCTCTGGGCCCAGAAAAACACAACTCTTTTACCTGTCTGGCCCGCCCTTGTATCCTATTACTGTTCCTCCTACCCTGCCTCTCATATCTCGCTCCTGAAGGCTGAAGTGAAGTGGTGCAGGTGCGCATGTGCAAGATGTGAGAGGCAGAGAAGGAGGTACAGTAATAGGAAAGTTACCATATTGAAATCAAATCTGATGCTTTTAAAAAATTTATTTGGTGTGTGTTGGAAGAAGGGTAGTCTTATACAGCATGTATATCCCACATTATATTTTAACTGGAAAAATTGGGAGTCGTCTTATACGCCCAGTCGTCTTATGTGCCGGAATATACGGGTACTCAAGATCCACAAACATAACAGAGAACTGGCATAAGATGCTTTTCGTTGGCATTTAACACCACAACAATTGGCCAAATACTATAAGAATTTAAATAACAGCTGTTGGAAATGCGGAGAACAAATAGGTTCCTACTATCATGCTTGGTGGGATTGTAAAATAGTAAGGAAGTTTTGGAAAGAAATACATGCCCATATACAAAAACTATTGAGGGCTAAATTCAACTCAATACCTGAATATTACCTACTAAATTTAATAGATTTTGAATGATGGAAAAACAATGATAAATTACTATACTATACGGCAGCTGCTGCCAGAACTATTTTGGGAAGTAAATGGAAAGATTAAGAACTCTCGACCTTTGAAACATGGATTATTAAAATAAAGGACTATATGGATATGGACGCTCTGACGATTATGCTGTATGATCAGAATATAAAGAACAATGGACTGGCAACCATTGAAAAGATATCTCAAAGAAAATAATATTTATTTATTTATCGTGTCAGGAGCAAACCAAACAGTTGTATTGCATTTTTAACAAACAAACAAACAAACCACAAAGTTTGCAAGCTTGGTAGTTGATTAAATGTCCTTTGACCAGTAGCTGGCCACTTGGAGTGCCTCTGGTGTTACTATAAGAAGGTCCTCCATTGTGCATGTGGCAGGGCTCAGGTTGCATTGCAGCAGGTGGTCAGTGGTTTGCTCTTCTCCAAACTCGCATATCGTGGATTCCACTTTGTAGCCCCATTTCTTAAGGTTGGTTCTGCATCTTGTGGTGCCAGAGCGCAGTCTGTTCAGGATATCTATATTTCTGAGTAAGGAAGATATTCTTAGTCTGTACAACGTTTTCTTGTCCTTATCCAGCAGGGCTTCATTTTGTATTTCATTACATTTATATCTTACTATTCCTCCAAGAATGATGATGACATTTTTCTTTCCTCTTTTAATTTTCAGAACAATTTTCAGAAGTGGATTAGAAAGAGAGATAGTGTTCCTTGAGGCCAGAGGCTAAGTGGAAGTTTAAATTTGTCTTTCTTCAGTCATAGAGACAAGTGGTTATACCACTCTAGCTTTCCATCATTATCTGATTGATATCTTGATACATAGGGAAACATGAGAGCTTGAAGAGCTCCTTCTGAGAGCCAAATTTAATGTGTCTTGGGAAACCTGTGGTCTGATTTCTCTGTAGTTTTCTTTGGTCAGAAGTAGCCACCCACTTCAATCACGGGCCACAGTGCTCAGCTGCACATCTGTTAGTGGGCTTTGGCACAAATTAAAGCTATCAGCATTTTGAAGAGTTCTTAACTCAGACTCTTTAAAAGAATTGCATAGCTCTGTCCTAATTATTTGCAAGCCAAGTTGTAGTTACCCAGAAAAATGTAAAATAATTACTAAATAGAGAAAATAAAAAAGTGGTGGTAGTGTTATGCCTCTGTGGCATTATTAAGGTCCATGAAAGGCCAGAAGAGTGGTATAAAGGCTCAAATTAGATGACAGTAGCCAGATTTAGTTGGTGAGATGCATTGAATACCCGTCTATACCTTATTTATCCAGACTTCTTAGTGTGTGTGTGGGAATGCACTGCAGGGATTACTAATAGCTATTGTTGTTGTTCATTCGTTCAATCGTTTCCGACTCTTCATGACCTCATGGACCAGCCCATGCCAGAGCTCCCTGCCAGCTGTCACCACCTCCAGCTCCTTCAAGGTCAATCCAGGGACTACAAGGGTCCCATCCATCCATCTTGCCTTTCTTCCATTTTCCCCAGCATCATTGTCTTCTCTAAGCTTTCCTTTCTTCTCATGATGTGTGCCTCTACTATCCTTCCCTCCAATGAGCAGTCGGGCTTTATTTCCTGAAGTATGGATTGGCACTCTCAGAACTTTCCTCCAACACCAGAGCTCAAAAGCATCTATGTTCCTTCTCTCAGACTTCTCTATGGTCCAGCTCTCACATCCATAGGTGACTATGGGGAATACCATTGCTCTTCAATATTTTATCAAGATTGGTCATTGCTTTCCTCCCAAGAAGTAAGCGTCTTAGCTACTACTTCGTAATGTCAATGGAA